TTTTTGCTGCTGCAGGAGGCAGCTCAGCAGCAAGTGCTGTGCCGACCCCCAGCAGCAGCTGCAGCAGGTCCCGCAGCCGCAGAGACACCCGCTGGCCCCACCCCGCCTCGGGCCAGCGACAAGCCAGGCCCTCAGGAGACAGAAGAGCCTCCACCATCTGCAACAACAGCAGCAACAGCAGCAGCAGCAGCAGCGACATCAACAGCAGCAGCAGCAGCAGCAGCAACAGCAGCAAGAGACCTTTGGGTTTCAAGGAGAGAGCGAGACGAGTCGCTCTCAACTGCACCCCTCCAGCGCCAGCAGCAGAAAGACAACCAAACAGCAGCTAGCAACGAGCAGCAGCAGCAGCTGCATGCAGACAGCAGCAGCAAAACTTGTTTGTTTCCGCTTGTCTTTTATTACCTTAAGAGAGGCTTCAAGGAGAGACATCTCTGTGCTGCGGGGATGAGCTGAAGAGACACCGAAAGACGTAGCCATCTGCTGCAGCAGCGCCGTCTCCCCCGTCTCCCTGTCCGGCTGCTGCTGCTGCTGCTGCTGCTGCGACTCGCTGCTGCTGCTATTGCTTGCTGCCGCTGCTGCTGCTTCGGCCGGCTTATCTGCTGCCGAATCCCTGCCGACTCTGCGCAGCAGCAGAGAACACAGGTAGTTTCCTATGCTGGAGCTGCCGCTAGCAGCTGCAACACTGGAAGCAACTCAACAGCAGCAGCAGCAATAAAAGCAGCAACAACAGCAACAACAGCAGCAACAGCAGCAGCAGCAACAGCAGCAGCAGCAGCAGCAGCACGAGCAGCAGCAAGCAGGCTGAATAGGCCTACAAGATAGAATCGATAGTTGTCTGCAGCTGCCACAAGGTCCATTGAAGTGAGGGGGGCGGCACTACGGGCAGCGCTACACTGGAGGGCGGCTGCAGCTGCGCTGCTGCTGCCTTTGCTGCAGCAGTGGAGTTTGTTCTGCTGCTGGATGTCCTTGCCGATGGCGGCTGCGCAGCAGCAGCAGCAGCACCAGTTGCTGCCGCTGCAGCAGACATTCCGGGTGCGGGCAGCGCAGCAGCACCTGTGCCGGCAGCCGCAGCAGCTGCTGCTGCTGCTGCTGCTGCAGCAGACCCCGCCTCCGATCCCACTCCCCCCAACAAATGAGAGAACACAGAGAAGTCCCCCCACAATACATCTATCGCCGCGTTGTGTTCAAATGCTGGGCTGCTCAGCGCAGCCTCTCTATGGGCTGCTGGCATTCGCAGCAACGCCCCCCACGCCTTCCATAAAGAAAACGGCGTCTTAGACTGCCACGCATCGCTCTCCTGCAGGGGGTAAACAAACAAACAGCAGCAGCAGCAGCAGCAGCAGCAGCAGCAACAGCAGCAACAGCAGCAGCAGCAGCAGCAACAGCAGC